AAAATATACAAAAAAATTCGTTCCAATTAGTAAATATATATCTGCAATTGAATTATGGTTCAAACAATTTATATCTCTAGATATATTTAGGTACATGGTAATTTATCAATAATTGGAGCGAAAAAGAGAAGTTTTCGATTTATTTTCCAAGTTTCCTCTTGTTATTTTATCAAAAAATATGTCTATTTTAATCTTGCAATAAGTATCTTACATCATGTGTTTTCTTGTTTCTGATTCATAATTTAAGATGACTACAATTAGCCAACAGAAATCTTAAAGGTCAGTAACAGATAACAGGAGTGACGGGCCAATTTCAAAATGATCTATTCCTTATTTACGGATAATGATCTATGTTTGATGTTTGCAGATATATGTTTGAATTCAATTATATTTTATTTTGTAGAGAAGCAATATTTTGATATGAAATTTCTTTTATGTATTTGTTATATAAAATTACGAAGCTTGCTATAATGCTAAATTTTGCAATTTAGCGCTTAAATAATTATAATATTATAAATGATTATTCCTTATGGTATCCATGTGTAGATACTTGTTTTTGAATTCAACTATATTTCATCTCGTAAGAATAATATTTTGCCAGATCTTTTTCTACGTATTTGTTATAAAGCTGCGAAGATTGCTACATAGATTTTGCAATCTAGTTCTTAAAAATTTATAATAAATAAAAGTGTCTGCATATATTGCATTCTGTATTGCGAATTTACATATCAAACGAATTATTTATTCTTGCTCTTTTTAAAAAAAAAACATTCTATAGGGACTTGCAGATAATTCTTCTGATTATAAATATCGCAATTACATTATAAATCTCAATATTTTAGCCGTAATATGGTGAATGGAAATTCTAAGCAGAGATCGTCATAGTCTCTCCTTCTACCTCTTTCTTAAATTTAGATATGATTTTATAAGACAATTTTATAGTACAAGATACAATTATAGTGCAAGAATTTTATAGCACAGGAAATTCTTTTTGCAAAAGTTAGATATTTACATTAATTAACAGATAACAGCAAAAAATTCGATGCATAAATAATCCACGGCAAAGTCTAACGTTATCCATTGACGTGGCGTGCAAAATAACTTTACTGATTGCCGCTAGATAGTACACGCTGTTCGTTCGCTACCTTTTATCGGTTCGATCGAAACCGATTCCCATTCCTAGATGACGCCTTGATTCTCACCGCAATTCGCGCTACTCCCGGCGACGCGGCTTTCGATGCCGCGGTTGCGATTCACCGTTAAGCGAATGTGCGACAAGGAGGGGCAGGAAGAGAAGGGCGTGAATCCGCCGCGAGCACGCAGGTAGAAAAGCGAGCGAGCGAATCCACAAGTTACGGTACTACCCATACTATACTGTCGTTTTTGTTTATCTTTCCGATTGCGCGCGCGCGCGAGACGCGTCGCGTCGCGACGCGACAGCAATGCAGACCGCGTGTAAAAGCGCGAACGAATCGGCGCTCGTGTGTTTGCTCCGATTGTTCCGCGTGTTTTGATTCTTGCGCGTGTCCCCGATATTCTATCGTCGTCGGATCAGACGTAACCATCGGGATACAGATTGCGGTATCCTCCTCGCGGTATGCCGGTCCTCCTAAAAAAAAACGCCAAATTTAGGACGTCCGGCCAAACGGGAGAGAGAAGGGGGAAAGAGAGCGCCGTGGCGGTAAGAACAAGGTGGTTGCCCCCAGGGAGCTCGAAAGTAGGAAAGTCCATCGCGCACGAAAAGCAAACTCCGTTCCTTTAGTTAGATCAGGTCGTTCACACCTGTACACCGCGAGACATCACGATCCCGCCTCCCTACCTACTTCATTCATTATCCGCAAACGCGCCTAAGATCTGCCCTTATCGGAGTACTTCGAAAAGGCTATAAATAGCACGAATGACTCTCGAGTTTCTATTACTTACTAAGAGACTTTCCCCTCCGCCCTCTCCTATCTATCTCTTCCTTATCCGTCCCTTCGTTACATCGACCCCCTCGGCGCGTTTCAAATGGACTTGAACCGCGCGGTTGCCTATCGCGACGAGCCAGGAAACAGAACAGGTAAATACGCTATTCGCGCGCGCGCGTTATCAAACGTCGACGCGATGAGGAAGCGACGTATTTGTCGCGACATGGTCGCGCGCGCGGGCAAGCGAGCGTGCGGGACGTAAGGGTATGGTGGCAGAGGGCAGGGGGGGGGCAGGAAGGGAGGGTGCGCGGAGCGAGGCCACATCCGAGTCTCCCTCCAAGCGCGGAGGCGGGCGGGCCGGGCGTGCGGCATGTGAAACGTGGCTGTTTCGAAAGTCCCTATGCGTTAACGCGCCTATTTTAGACGCGCGGGGCGCTTTGTCGAGACACGTCACGCCGCGCCGCGCCGTGCCATCGCGAAAGATCGAGCCCCGGCCCCGGTTTCTATACTCGCCAAGAGGCCGAATCGCGTATCATGAGGGTTGCTACGCGCTAATCATGAGCAATGGGATCCACATTGGAGGATCCACGGTACCAAGAATTCATCATCGAACATTGTAGATGGTCTCGTAAATCGAGAAACAAAGTATTCAAATATTCGTGTCTAGAATATACGTTTCGGTATAACAAGATCGTGATACTGCGATCCCATAGTTCTTTCGTATCGCTCTTTCTCCCGTAACTTTCTTCTCAAACTCTGCTTGACCGAACCGATAACCTCGTAACCCTCAAAACGACAGCCTGCGGTGAGAGTCTTCTCTAGACTCACTAATGGCGGGAGAAACGAGGGGAAAATGTCGTTCTCCGCCTTTTCGAGACGAGGAGGACGATTTCGCCACCGTCGGCACGAAGATAAATGGGGTACACCGGCACCCTGTCGTCGACACGCGAGTGCGTGTGACTTCCCTGAACCCTTTCCCTCGCCCCCTTTCCTCCCGTTCCCTCGATGAGTCTCGACGACCCGAATCACTCGACGGCGAAGCTGGTTTCGTGGATCTCTTCATGAGAGGCACGTCGTGCGCGATTTGTCGAGGGAGAGAGATAGAAGGGAGGGAGAAGGGGTGGGCACGGGGTGTGACGGGACTCGGGGGGTTCGTAAAGGCAATGCACTGTAAGGAGCTCACAACGACCATACCCTCCCTTTCTCCTTCTTGCCTCCCCCTTCCTTCTCTCTCTCTCTC